ATATTTTTAATAAATTATAATAATAAATTTCAATTGTATTTTATTCATCGATACATTAGAATAAGTATTGATCTTATATTCTTTTTTTTTTATTTTCATATAATACTAGTTAGTAAATATTTTATATTCAATGTCATACATATCGATTTAATCAAACGATGGAAAAATGTTTTTTAGAGAAATATGAAACTTTCTCTCAGACTATATGGTAAACTTATAAATCAATCAGAGTTTTTTTCTTTTTTTGTTGAACAGATCCCTATCAATGCTATAAACGTCATCAGCATACAGCTTTTTTTTTCTCGCATAAATTAGAATATGATCTTGTTTCATAATAAAGTTACAAGAATTTCTTGATAAGTATATAGTTGTTTTGCTTTTTAATTCTTCTCAGATTCGTTCTGCATATAAATATATATTTGTCTAACAAAATATAACATTAATGAAAAACACTTTTGCATGACATATTAAACTTCTAACTATTGATATTTGTAAATTTTTTATTAATAAATAATTCGATTAGAATTGATATTAGATAAGTGTTTGGTATTTTTTTTTTCAAGAATAACTATGTTAATATTATTGATATTTTAAAAAGAATTTCATGGTTGAAAGAATTATTGAATATTCAATTGACCCTAAGTTAACAAGAGCATAATTAATAATTAAATAGTTGTTGTTGCATTGAAATATATGACTGATGAAATCAATCGATCAAAGAAATATATTATACTTCATGATACTCCCGTAACACGATAAGAGCTAGAATGATCTTATTGATCTCGAAAAAATTTTTTCAATTTCTCATCTAATGAACATTTGAGTTCTGTGCTTGAAAAAGAATCTTGAATTCTTTCTATAGGTAACAATCAAAATTATGAAATTTAGCATTTGAAAATATTAGTCATAGAACAAAAAAAAAAAAAGGAAAAATCAAATGTTTTATAATAAATTAGTTTCTTTTTTACTCCAGAAGAAAAAAGAAAAAGTCAATATGTAACGAATATTGAATTGTTCATGATTAGTACTGATTAATTATATTCCATTTTGTTTCTTTTTTTTTTTGTTTTCTTTTATAAAATATAAAAATTTAAATTTCAAATATCAAAACGAAAAAAAAAAACTATCAAATATAAATGCATTGTTTAGTATTCAAGACACGTTAATAACATAAATAAAAGCATTGTAAATGAGTAAATTAATATTTCAATGATATAAGCTTGAATGCATTCTTATTTCTAAAAAGATTCTTATTTTTCGATTACATACGGTTCAATTTCTATTATCTTCGAAAATCTATTGTAAAATAAATAATTAATATATATGCGTATCATATTTTTTCTATTGTCAAAACAAACAAACAAAAGAAGAAGAAAAAAAACTCATTCAAGTAAAACAAATTTGATGTGATATATATTATCCTTTACTTGGATAATTAATAATATCTTAGATATCGAAATACTAATTTATCTAATCAATGTTGACAAGTACATATATCCAATAGACGTATGTTTATTAATAAGAAATAAATCTTTTGTTTATTCGAATATATCAGTATAAGTGTATTGATCATAGACTATAAATTATATGACGATATATAGAGTATGTATATAGTTTGTATGTATATATATTATCATTAATAAAAGTGCATAGTTGATAATAAGAAAATATAATTGAATTATATCAATGATTTTTATCGAGAACGAAAAGGAAATTTAAATATTGAAGTACTATTTATTGTGAAATTATTTGATATGATTGTTGTTGTTGTTGTTGTTGTCGTTGTTGTTTTGAATGATGTACTCATTCGAGATATCTGATAGAATAAATTATTTTTGCCTGTTCTAGTACGTACAAGTTCATCAATTTTTGGTGCCATTTTTAATGTAAGTGTAACAATTCCAGCACATAAAAGAATTATTAGAAGTCCAACAATACTTATAATACGTGTAATAATACGTTTTTTTCTATCAGCTGCTGCTACTAAACGTTGTTGTTTAAGTTCAAATATACTTGCTGCTGTTCGATTATTTAATGAACTAGGTGTTGATGGAGATTTTGGTATATTAATATTAGGTTTTTTTAAATTATTTTGTTGATGATATTGTGATTTTATTTGAATTTGTTGAAAAAAAGCAATACGTTCTTGAAAATCATCATTACTTTTTTCAATTAATGATCTTGATGGTGAATGGGATCGTTCAGGAATACTTGATTTATTAATGATTGACATTAAAATAAAATCAATACATTTGTATAATTAATTGATATGATCGATATAGTAAAAAATTTGAAGAAAACCTAAACAAAAAAAACGAATTCTTTTATAAGAAAAAAAGTCATACTAAATAGAGAATTTAAGTTTCTTGTACGAACAATTGTGGCATTACTCTAATCGACTTTTCTATTAAATGCAAATCTAACTCAGCGAAAAAAAAAAAGAAATAGATGAATACTTACAAAATAGAAGATAATCTGATATTGATTGAATATAGTGACAAGAGAAACTGACAATTGAATAAAGTGAACTACGATGACAAAAATACATATTCATTCCATTAGAGCCTCGAACCATAGAGACAAACGGCAAATTAGAAAATGTAGCAATTATATTTCGAATAGAACGATTAATAATAACATTTGAGACTAGATGATGATATTAACTGTTATTTGTATTTTCAATAATCATTATTCGGTAAATCATTGTTTTTTTTTTTATAAACATAGTTTATGTACTAATAAAACGAGATATAGTTGTTGTCAAAAAAAAAAAAAATAAGAACGTAGCAAAGAAAATGATATCAATACGAAATTGTTCAAACTTCCTGAAATTGCTTTACTAACAGCCAATCACAACAAATCGCCATACGTTCGTATCATTTCACGGGAAAACAAGAGAAAAAAAAATATGCGAAGATATTTTTCTTCTTTTCTATTCTTTTGCATTCAGAAGCCTTTCTTTTCTTTTTTTTAATTTAGTTTCTTATAGATGAAGAAGAACAAAATCCCTATGTATTCTCTCTCTTTCTCTCTTTTTTTTTTCTAAATGATCATATGTCATTCCTATATTGATATTAGTTTTTTATTTCCTTGTTTATATTTGCAGAAAAAAAATGAGTATGAGTAAGTGTAAAGTAATAATGACAAAAGCAAATTGAAAAGCATTTGCGCGTGAGCACTCATATATGAAATAAACCATGATGACGCACGAGCAACAAATATATAAATAGAGAGAGAGAGAGATCGATGGTTATTAGTTTTATGAATGATGAACTATTATCAACAAACTAGTAGAAAAAAAAAAAGAGACTAGAGACTTATACGAGAAAATAAAAATTCTTTTGAAATTAGCTCAATAAAATAAATTTCTCAAAAACAAAACAAAATTTATAATGTCGATTTCCCCAGGTACTATTCAATGTTATAATGAAACATTTTTATTCGGTAACAGTTGGTAAAACTAATGAAGAAAATAACATGACGTTGATTAAAATGCATATAGACATGCAAAGATGTTTTCAATGAAAAGACAAGTAAAAGAAAAAAGTATGTTTGATCATTGATGAGGTAGTATATTTGTAGATATTCATTAGAGATCTATGTTTTTATATAGAAAAATAGTGAATTATGTATCATTCTGTTTTCGATTGTACTATATCTAATACATAATGAAAAAAAAAGAAAAAAGAAAAGTTCTTACTTGATCTTTTTTTATGCGTTGTTTTTTTTTCCACTAAGCATGTACCATAGAATAATACAAAAAGAATAAATAATCACCAAAATATTCTCTAATTTTTGTAATTATATCAATGAAATTTGAGTACTTCCGTATATCAAGCTGATCAAAGACTGTAGAAGTACAATTAATAACTATTGTTGTTATTGTTGAAGTACCACTGACTTATAACCTTGAGTGTCGTGAGATTTGAGAGATAGACCAACAAACTATATTGATCTTACAAAAATAATACTGATGAAGATAAAGTAGAATCATAGTAGTATGATAATAATCATAATAAGAGAAACAAAAAAAAAAAAAAAAGACTGAAAGACAAGAGATTAAGATAATTGATTATTTGTATAAATAAAGAAAAGAAACATCAAACATAATATTTTTTTTTTTACCTTCATTTTCATTAGTTTTCTTATCAAGTGAATCTTTCGTGACATGAGCATCTATAGTATGATTCCCTATGTGCGTGTTTATTCTATTAATATAGTAAATATTTTTCTTCATATGAGATTAATATTAAATCATATTGTTTAATAAATAGCAATTAAATATAGACCAAATAATTATTATTATTCTTTATTAATGATCACAATGGGAAGAAAAAAAAAGAGTATAAGACAAAATAAATATCTTGAGTAAAAGTATATTTTTGAACATCGATTAATTTTATTGGAAAAAAATAAAATAAAATAATATGACAGAAAATGAATTAATTATTTATAACATAGAAAGAAAAAAAATTCAAATCGGAATTTCAATTAGTCAATATTTGATTAAGAATAACTATGTATATTATTTCTTTTTTATTGTTAAGTGCACTCACACTATCTCGTAGAAATAATAATATTCATATTGTATATTAATAATGCTATTGAGACGACATTATTCGACTTAATGATCTTTTTTTTTTCAACTACTGATAATAAATCTAAATTATATTCTTTTTTCTTTTTTTTTATCTATCTTTCAAATCTAACATATTGTTTTCTTCAAAGTTATTTGTTGCTTGACATGCGTAGTATTAGATCATATATTAAATTAAGAGTTTATCTAAATTAATTTTCATATATCAATTATGATGAAATATGTTTTGATACTATTTTGAATTTTTTATAGATATTGTTTTATATGTTATCATATTTTTTTAGCATTCATCATTTATATTCATATTAAATACAATAACTTTCTTGATTCTATTTATTCAATGATCATTACGAAGTTATATTTATATAAGAAAAAAATAGCTTTATTACTACTGAGAAAAACTTTAGTATTTTTCTGAAACGAGCTTTGCTCGTTTATTATCATTATTTAATGATGAATCTATCGAAATATTTGTATCCGATGATGCAATTGAACGCTTGTTTTGTAATGATTCAAATTCTCCATCATTTGTTTCCTAAAAAAAAAACGAATCGATATTTATTATTATTATTATTTATAAGCAAAAAAATCAATCAATTAATACCGATAATGGTTTTTCAATAGCTTGTATTAATAATCGATGAATATCTTCTAGATTTTTTTCAACTAATTCTGGAACTAGTTTACAACTTGCTCGAATTCCTTGAATATCTCTTTAAAAGAAAGAAAACAAAAAAAAAATACAACATAATAATTATGAAAATTGAAACCGATTAAAGAAAGTATTTTACTTAGGTAATAATTCAGCTATATGTATAAGCATTAAATCTGGTAAAACATAACTTAAAGAAAAAGATATAATTTTTGATTCAATTAAGAATATTTTTTTTTTTTATTTTACATACCTTGTTGATTCATCTTCTTCTCGAGCTATTTTATCACGCCAAGCGTAGAGTAATTTAAGTGCAGTTAATTGACTACCATCGAAAGTTGTTTTATGACATTTTAAATATAGAGTTTTATATGCATTTTCATCGAAAATTGGCTTTTTGTATAACTAAGAACAAAAACAACAAATAATTTCATTATTTATAACAATTAATCTATAATAGTGCAACCGGATTCGAGATAAAATGAAGCTATTTCTCTCTTCATCTAGAAAGTTTTGAACTCTCCTATCGTACGATTTGTTTTCATTAATAGTACATTATTTTGGAAGTATAAGACCTCAGTGTGATTCTCTTTTTGTTTTAGAAGATTGAATAGTTGAGAGAAAAGAAAATCATTAGTTTTAAAATAATTCCCAAAGCTAATCTTATGTTTATTATTTGATCTTAATGTTAAGTATGTACTCAAAATCAAATTTTATTTTTATTGTCAATAATAAAAAAAAAAAAGTAAATTTGATTATTTTCTTGATGATTTCAAATTATAGAAATCTAATTATTTGTGAAGTTAAGTTTGTCATGAATATTTGTTTTTCTACTAGACTTTCATAAGCAAAAAAAAAAAAGAATTTTAAATTAATTTGAATTGACATTTTACTATTATTTTTCATTATTGATTTCATTAGAGAAATTTAATAAATCAATAACTGACAAAACAATAATAATATTTACAATCGTTATATTTTTTTTTTTTACTTTTTGACAAATTATTTTTGATTTTGTATAAACTAATCGAAGAAGTTGTGAATTATTTTCATTTAAATCAAGTAATTGATTTCGTAAACGATCATATATATATAAAAGATAATGTGTATCTTCTCGAGCATAACGACAGTATTCTTTTGGTAAAGGTCTAAAAATAAATTTATTTATTTATTTTTTTTAATTGAAAATAATTATTTTTCTAACCGTATTCTCCAATCAGCTAATTGAAATTGTTTACTAGCATCAATATTACAATAAGTTTTTAAAAGATAAGCAAGTGATAATGTTGGTAAATTAAGTTCTTTTGCTGCTCGATATGTATCAAACATATTTACAACATAAATACCAAAATCTTTTTGTAACCATTCTATATCCCAATCAGCACCATGAAATACCTTTTGAATTTAATAATTAAATTTATTTATTTAAATAAAAAAATTACTTTCAAAACTTTTGGATTAGTAAAAACATTATTTAGAATAGATAATTCATCTCGTAATGTAAGTGTATCAATTAGAAAATCTTCTGTACGTGATGATATTTGCATTAAACATGTAAAACCTTGATAGGATCGATAGGAATGATGCTAGAATAAGAAATAGATGTTTAGAAATAATAATAAAAAAAAAACATAAGAAAGTATACTTCTAAATCAACTGCTAATTCTAATTGCATTTCAATATGATCCATCATTATTTTTAATTTTTCAACTGTATCAACAAATAAATATTTTGTTTCTTCAATTGATTTTGGATACTAAAATAAATTTAATTCTACTAATATATTAAACAATATTTACACTTACTTGAGGTTCGATTTTCTTTAGTAATATTTCATCAGGTTCAAAAGCTGTAATTTCATCAAAATACGGATGATCTAATCTGAGATAATAAAAAAAAAGAACAATAGATTTCAATCTAGTTTTTTCTTTTTTTTTGAAAATAGAATACTAACATTTCTGGATGTTTTTCTAATAAATTAGGATCAATAGATTCGAAGTTCATGTGTGTCATGATCACTAATAATATTAATTTTTGAAATAGAACAAAAAAATAATAAATCAACTTACTTGGTAATGGTGTTAAAGCATTTGGTTTAATACGAATTTTTGAAATAAAAGGTATTATTGTACTATTATCAATTTTATATTTAAATTTTAATTGTGGTTTAATTAAAATTTGTCGCTAAAATATTTTAAAAATTTAATAATTTTATTTTTTCAAAATTATTTACCATAGTTGTTGATACAGGAGATTTTTTAATTCCATCAGCTTCATCAAGAGCAGATGCCTATAAAAAAAAATTAAATAGTTAAAAATTAAAAAATTTTCTTATACAATTTGTTCAAATAATGTATCATTAATATCAACTAATTGTTCAATTTTTTCATCTAAATCTAATTGATTCCAATTTGATGATTGAATATGAGATTTAATTTGATAAATTCTGAAAAATATAGATTTTTTTTTTTTGTGATAAATAATTTCAATATAAAATACCGATTTAAAATACGTTCACTTAATTTATTTATTTTATCTTGACAAGAATCTATTGTCAGTATTTGATCAAAATTTTCAACTGCTAATCGATTTGATGTTCGAATAACATCAATAACTTTCGAACAGATTGTCTAAACATACAAAAAATTTCTTTGTAAAATTATCAAAAATTTATTTATTTATTTTGGTTTTGATTTACTTGTTTATATTCATCAACATTATTAAAAATATCAAGAAATTTTGTTGAAGACATTTATTACATACTGAAAAATAAAATCGAAGTTAAAATAGATATTTTCTTTTTTTTTTCTTTCTTTTATAAACCCTTGATCATTCTGTGTTTTACTATATATATATATATTGATTTAGCCCGAAATGTTTGCTCGTTCTATAAGGATTAATATAAATGTTTTGATCTATATTATAATTTAATCTAGTTTTAAATGTGTATAAACAAAATTGACATACGTTTTTTAATTAATTAGAAGAGTATTTAAGGGGAAATTGGTATAACAAAGCTAAGATGAAGGTCGAAATGACCTAAGAATAAAAAAAAGAAAATCAGAGTAAATTATGTCCTCTCTTGTACTTTTATTCTTGAACCATATCATGATGTAATTATTGAGTTTTATTTAAGTTTTATGTGTTTATTAAAATAATTTGTTTTTTGTTTTCAAATCCATCTGATCAAAATCAGAATTAGAATTTTCACTAGATCAATGTAAAATAGAATTTATAACATAATAAAGATGTTGTCAGAATTGTTTGTTTTATCTTATTTGTATCATATTAATTGAGAATACATTTAATATTATTGAAATAATTCGAATTTAATCAATGAGAAAAAGAGTATCCATCAATGTCACATTCAATTCTATTGACAATTGAAATATTCTACGAATCATATAGACAAAATTATAAATACTAACTAGGATGAGTGAAACTAAGTCTTCATACATTTTTCTCTCGTATTCTAAGTATGAAAAATTTCTCTTATATATTTAAAAGATAATGGTTAAACAACAACTAGCGAAATGAAATCAAAGCTCAACATAAATATTAGCTAAAAATATGGAAATATCATGTGATACAATGCATCAGATAATTAAAGAATATCTCACCTACAAAACTTATAAACAACCAAATGTTGCTAAAACTTGTTGATAAACATAAAATTAAAAGCAAATCATTTAGTATTACTATCAGAAAAAATATTAAGAAATCTATGACGTAAATAGTTTTTTGTAACGCTTATAATTCTATTATAATGAAGTTTTTTTTTCATAATTAGAAAACAAGAGAAAAATGCACCAATCTTAAGTGCAATTTGTCTTGAGACACTTCTTAAATAAGAATAACATACTATTAAATGAAATTTTTATGCTTTCATTACTTAAAGGATCATCTTCAAGTAATAATACATTCATATCCGTTACGTAGTGGAACAAAACAAAACAAAACTATCTCTGTCATAAACGTATTTCAACTTTTGCCATATGATATAATTTCATTCTCACCTGCTGTTTGATTATAAACAAATAAATTTAAATTAGCTTATTGAATAAAAATATGCAATATAAAAGAAACAGATGCATTTCAAAAAAACAAAAATTGTATATCCGTTATAGTTGTAATGTTTCACAACGGGTGGCCGATAAACATTCTTTCTTTTTTAACACGCACTTCATGTCTATTTAACAGACAAAAAAAAAAATGGGTCAAATTTTGACGTAAGAGATGTTAAACTTGATAATTACAGCTTCTCATTTTCTTTCTTATAAGTGATTATCACTGTTGGAGTTCAATGAACATTTCGTTCCTTAAGAAATAAAACTTTTTCTATCAATAAAAATAAAGATATAATTTTATCTTTTCAAAACAAACTACTTGAAAATAATAGATAATAACAATATGTTTGATTTAAAACATGTTCAATTTTCTCATTAGTATTTAAAAAGAACAAAAAAAAAACAGAATCCTACTTCTGTCTATGTTTGATGTCAAAAAAGAATTGAAATTCATTTATTATTTTTTTTTTCTTTCTATCTAACAAGATGTGTGTATATATGTTTTGAAAATTAACGAACCGAAATCAATCTCATCGGATTGTCTTACGTATACGAATGCTCATTTATCAATGTTAAGAAACATATGTTAGTGCTTTTTTTTTTTTTATTATTTTCGATGACGCCATTTCTTATTAAATCTTATCAAATAATCATTTCCACATATGATGATAGTAAAAAAAAAAAAACAAAACGAAAGTTTTTTCCTTAATATACATTAGCATGTCAATGTCAAATCATGTCATCAAAACACACATGCTAGGTGAGAATTGATCCTAAGTTAATGGTCTAATTGATCGATCAACGCATCTTTTCACACAATCTTTTTCTTTTTGAAAAAAAAAAAAAGAAATGGTTCCACAACATTTAATATTTTGTCATGATTCACTAAGCTCTCTCAGTGAGACACCGACATTAACACGTTAATCTTATATTGTCTACTAGCTTTTCGATTTAAATAAATAAGTAAGCGAAAAAAAATCAAGAGAGAATATTATATATATATATAGCTATAAGCACAGTCATTCGCAGTCTTCTCTTATACAATAAGACGTGTCATTATACCTTGTTTCGTGTGAGAAAATTATGCTAAATATATTTATATACAACACGCAAGATTGAATTCATCTTATGAAAAATCTCATCATTGACATATATAAACCAATGAAATTGTATCAACTGAATACAAAAATCGAAAAAATATTTCAAAAGAAAGAAGTGATCTCTCTCTCTTAATCTGCTACTGCAAAGAACTCGAAAAAAGATTTATAAAAATATTCATTATTATCAATATAGTCACTAAGCATAGGTGTTAGATCTCCATCCAATTGGTTCATTTCGGAAAACAGTTCAAAAATTTTTATTCTAAACCAGTGGCGATCATAGTCGAAAATTGGTTTTCAAAGCCTGTTCGAGGCAACTTAACTGCCTTTATATGTTTATTTCTGCTGAGAAAAAACGAAAAAAAACAAATTCTCAGGGAGGTGGCGATGGCTGGTTCGCCGAACAGGTGGATCCGCCAGGGTTCTAAACAAAATACTTTGATTAATAAGAAAATAAATCTTAATTGAAAAAGAATTTAATTAAGTAATTTGTTGCCGCTCTCTCTCTCTCTCTTCATACATGCTGTTCTCGACCTTATTATTGGACTCTAGACACGCGTACAGCTTCGTATGTCATCGACAAGTACTAATTATAATTTCAATATCGGCATTTCTTATCTTTCTTCTTCTCTCTTTCGTTTTTTTGTTCCGTGTCTTTTTCCTTAATATACAATCCAATCGTATTCATAGTTGAATTTTTTTTTCTGTTTCAATGATTATAGTCAGCTGAATATAGATTTTTTTTTTTTTGTCCTTCATAACATTTGCAAAGAAACATATAACGATGGAACAACAACAAAAACTTGAAACAATGCTTTTTATTGAAAAATCTTCTTATTCAAAAATTTCTATTAAATCTTATCCAAAACGACGTCTTATAACTGATTGTTTACATAAAGTTTGTAGTTTTTTTTTGGGAAATATTATTTGTTTTTTTTTTTTTTATTAATTAGTTAACTGATGATGAACATATATCTGATGATATATTTGCATTAACAATGTATATATTTGATCGTTTTATTTTTAAAACATCATTAATTATAATAAATGATCGTGATTATCAATTAATAGCTTTATCATGTTATAATTTAGCTAAAAAATTACGTACAAATATATTAATTAATAATGAAAATGAACAATTATCATTAATATTTTCAAATGAAAATTACAGTGATGAAGAAATTTTTGTAAAACAAAAAAAAAACAATTTTTTTTTTTATTTTATTTTTTTTTTTGTAGAATACTGAACTAATTATATCTAATACACTTGATTGGGATTTAGCTTATTTTATACCACATGATTATATACAATTATTATTTAAATATTTTTTACCATTAGAAAATCATATTCAACAACTTTGTTTACATGTTCATATACTTCTATCACTTGCAATATGTGGTAAAATAAATTTTCCTTTTTTTTTTTTAAATGAATATTTTTTTGTTTTGTTTTCGATTAGAATTAAATACATTAACAATACGTCCAAGTATTCTTGCATGTGCATGTATAAAAGCAGCTATAAAAGGTCTTTCATTAAAAAATATTCATCAAATTGATGAAATAATATTAAAACTTATACATTGTAATCAAATTGAATTAAGTCATACATATTATATGATTGAACAATTATTTCAATCATATTTACAAAATATAAAACCATCATCAAAACGTCGTTGTTTAGTACCAATTGATACAAGTTCACAACAACTTACAAAAGTTAAATAAAATTTTACACAAAAAAAAGATTTATTATAATTTTTTCCTTTTTTTTTTGTTTTTTTAAATATTTTTGTCTAAAGAAATAAATAAACCTTATAGAAAGAAAATTATTCTTCCATGAACATTGAGTTTCATTTCATTTTATTGATACGTTTTATTTCTTCGATTGAAATGAGAAATGTGAATACATATTATATAATTATTCAAGGGATAATGATGATTTCATGTTGAGTGGCTACTTTAAATAATACTTGTTGTTTGTTAAGATTTTCTTTTTTTTTTTGCTTTCGTATGCGTTTCGTCAAACATGACAAATAACTTTATATTTCCGATCGATCAATGACTTGTTGTTTCAAATATCCTGTGGTGAGATGAACAAGTGAAACCATTCATTAAGAAGGAAGTGAACATGCTGTGTGAAAAAAAGGAATTGTTCAAAAGAACATTTCCTAACTTGAAAAATAAATGAGATGAAGAAAAATAATCGATGAAAATTTTTTTTTTTAATAGTTTTATTTGAATGATATGTTATTGTTATTCTTATACAATCATGAAAGATATCGTTTTGAATAGAAAAATGATGGTTTCTGATATCTAATGAATTAGAATCTTGATGAAATCTTGCACTTCTTGATAATAAATTAATATTTCTAAAGAAAAATAGCGCCTATTCCACCAAAAACGGATGTTCACAAGAAAACTTCCGGTGGAATTCGATTAGTCAAATAAGATATACGGATGATTTCGTGTATTCATCCTGAACAACTATTAGTTACTCGATTGACTGAATTAATATTCATTTAATTATAGTTTTTGAAACTGAATAACTAGAACTACGAACTTGGATCATATCATAAGAACGTTA